TCACGTGCAGGAAGAAGAGGATGCAGCCTTAATAACAACATGATGTGTGCTTCACATTCAGCTCTGCTACTGCTCAATTAAATCTCATGCATACTGATATTAAATTATAGTGTTTGTAACTGAACTTTTGTGTTGTGTTATACTTTCCATAATTAGTGTGTTCCTTGAATCAGTCATCACTAATGCTAGTGCTGATAGTGATGTGATGAAACCTCTAATCAAAACATCTTCCCCCGGTTTCACAGACAAGGCTTAAGCCTAGTCCCAGACTAAAATGTAAGTCTGAGACGTGTCAACTGAGGATGCACACCAGTCATGTGTTTTCTAAGCCACGTTTATGAAAAATTACTTAAATGTCCTAATTGAACTATGGCTTAGTCTAAGCCCTGTCTGTGAAACCAGGCCTTTGAGTTTTTGATCAAGTTAATCCAAACTAAGTTTGAGATTTTTAGGAAAAATGGGTCTGAAATGTCTTGTTTAGTTTCTATTTTAAATTTCAGTAACTCAAGTATAGTTTTCTCCATACAAATAGCCAAAGAAGCTGGAGTGACCTTTAAAAAACCACCCAGAATGAGTGTGATCAGCTGTAATCGGCGTGAGAAATCAGTGCAGAAGAGTGAATGTTTGTGGGAACAGAGGTCAATCTCCTCCCAGCTTACACAATGACTGGATCCGGATCAGCTCCAGAAAGAGCTGGTGAGCTGCTGAACACTGATCATCAAACCACAGGAGCGTCCTTCATCTGTGCTGTGAGTGATGGAGCGTCTCGCTCTGACCGTCATCGAGGCGTTACGCTCTTTCACTGAGCTGTTTCTCACACAGCCGCTGAGCGCCTCGCTCTCTCATCTCGGTGAGAGCGACCTCAGAACACTGGACGCAGGTGAGTGACACCAAAAACCCCATTGTGTCTGAATCAGCTGCTGTTCTGCTGATTTTTAGTGATTTATGTGTAAAGTCAGTTCTGCTATGGTCACCCCATACAGCAAAAAATATATTTTTAAATATACAAAAAATGGTCCAAAAATATATTAGCTAAAACATGTTTCAAAATATATTTACGTAAATATATATTTTCTACCAATGTATTTTTGGTCATTTTTTATGGAGGGCCAAATTACTCAAAAGTAAATCATTATACATTAAATAAATGCATTAAATGCAAAACTAATTAAATACATAGAGAAATGCATAAATAAATAAGTATTCATTCATTTATTTATTTCATTTTCAGGGTTAAGGTTTTCGGGTACGTCCCGTCAGCTGTAACCCTGAAAATGAAATGTGGAGGAAATAAATAAGTAAATAAATGAATGAATGAATATTTATTTAATTACGTATTTAACGATTTATTTATATATTTCAACATTTTTTTAATGATTTAATTTTGAGTAATTTGACCCTCCATAATTTTTGAAAATATATTTTAAGTGTAAAAATATATTTTTAAAAGCATTTAAAATATATTTTGCCCTCTCTATATATTTCAGTCCAAGAAAATGCATTCACACGTGTCACATCTGAAGAAAAACTTGATTTGTTGTCTATAACACGTGCAAACAGATAAAACATTTGAATAAACTTCAGCAAGGAATATAGTTTTACATGCTCCAAAAAATACAATATTGCAATGTATAAAAATATTAAACATGATTAAATCATTATAAATCTACTTTTTGATCTCTAGTAGGCCATCCACATTTGTATTTAGCCTTTATTTGGTACAAATTAATACTTTTACTTTTCACAAATCCATTTAAATCATTTATTTATTTAATTTCTTTCAAAAAAAGACCATTTCAACCCCCTGCCAAAATAAATCACACCCTCCCGCCAATGTTCAAGACATGCAAATATGATTCATAAATGCAAATCTTGATTAAAAACACCTCCCCGTATGTTTTTAGTTTGGAGACAAAGTCAAGAAGTCCGACGTGATTCAGGCTGTTGAACAGATAAATACTCGACTGAAATTAAAATAGCCATGAGCTCAATAATCACTCGCTTAATGAAAACTCCTTCAGCTTGAATGCCATTTTGCATATTCCATTTTAAATTGAATTTTGCTACCTATATGCTTCCATAGAATGTATGTTATTCTGAACTAAATATGAATCTTGAAAATAGCAGAATAGAGAATGCAAAGCCGTCCATATGTAAACAATAATGATATGTGTGTGTGTGTGTGTGTGTGTGTGTGTGTGAGTGTGTGTGGACAGACTGACTCTAAACTCAGATGAAGGATCAGTCTCGATGTTTCATACACACACAGAAACCTGTAAAATACACCAATAAAACACACACCATAGTCGAACAAATGTGCGTCATTATTGCTTGTGGATGCATTACTGTATATTGAGTCTGTTTCCTAATTTTAGGGTTGCCCCAAACTGGGAAAAAGCTAATAATTAATCAAATAAAATAAATAAATGCTCAATTTAAGGCGAGACACTGCAGGTGAATATGGTAAAAAAAAACGTACTTACCCAGCTGATTGATTACATTGATAATTGCAAACATTTTTTGTATTACAAGTGTTCTAAAATATTAGGTTTAAATATGCAAATGAGTCATTATTTAATGAAATATGTGCTAATTTGCATACATTTCTAGTACAAAAATCTAAACACTGAATGATGTCCGTTTCAAAATTCTTGTTTAATTGTTAGAGTCAAAAGTTTTTACAAAAGTTATCTCATTTTTGTCACTCCAAATGCTTAGAACGGACAGAAAACACTATATTTTCACAATTTTGGTGGGGAATAAAATGTTGTATATAATCAAGCAAATTATATATGAACAAATCGCTCTGTAAAAACCTTCAGGATATAGACTATAGGTATAAAAATGTAAAGTTTGGTGTGTACTGAAGAGGAGATTCATGGCTCAGTGTAGGAGAAAAAGCTCATTTTGAGAAAACGGCCTTTAAAAACATGTATTGTAAAAAAACTCATTTTGAGAAAACGCCTTTAAAAATATGCATTGTAATTTAAACCTATTGACACGAATAGATAAAGTGCTATAAAAGAAACACTTAACAGTGTCTTCTGGATGGTTTCTTTCCACTAGTCTGAAAAAAACACGTTATGAAAAGCCAAAAAGCCCAAAATCTCAAACTTGACAGGTGCATGAAAAAACTGTGTTTTGCCTGCAGTGTCTCCACTGAAATAAATAAATCCTAATGATTTATAAATATTAATAAAATAACAATAGACAAAAAAAAAGTCTGGGAGTCTTTTGCTTCTACATTCTCCGATTCGTCCAGGCATACAAAACAATGTGATTTATTATCAAACACATGCTGATGTTTTATTGCAGAACAGACTGTGAGAATATCATTGGCATATTTCTAAATCTCAGACGAGGTTTGACCGGTCAGAGTGTTGTTCTGTTCTCTCTCCTGATTGGTTAATGTTTGTTTTATGCTAATTGTTCTGCTAGATATGTGTGTGTTTGAGGCTGTAATTTCAGTGTGAGATACAGGACAAAACATCATCCGCAGCAGACAGTAAGTATTAATACTGATTGGTTTTTCATAATTCTCATTCTAATCATTGGTTTATTGAAATATTAACTTCAAGTGATTATTTTAGCTCAAAGGTGTTCAGATGAACAAAAAAAAAATTGTGGCTGTCTCTTATTTTATTGCTAATGCTTTTATTCTTAGATTACTTCAGACAACACAGGAGTTAATCAAATTTAATTGATTTAATTGATCAAAATGCTTATGTTTTATTGTAGAGAGCAGACTGTGAGCATCTCAGATTAATATGAGGCTGATAATATTTTAATACAGCCAATATGTGACCCAGGAGCACAAAACCAGTCATAAGGGTCAGTCTTATGAAATTGAGAGTTATGCATCATCTGAAAGCTGAATAAATAATCTTTCCATTGATGTATGGTTTGTTAGGATAGGACAATATTTGGCTGAGATACAACTATTTGAAAATCTGGAATCTGAGGGTGCAAAAAAATCTAAATATTGAGAAAATCATCTTTAAAGTTGTCCAAATGAAGTTCTTAGCAATGCATATTACTAATCATAAATTAAGTTTTGATATATTTACGGTAGGAAACTTACAAAATATCTTCATGGAACATGATCTTTACGTAATATCCTAATGATTTATGGCATAAAAGAGAAATGTATAATTTTGACCCATACAATGTATTGTTGGCTATTGCTACAAATATACCCCAGCGACTTAACACTGCTTTTGTGCTGCAGGGTCACATATTTCAACACAGTGACTGGCCTAAACTGTGTTTGTGTTGTACGGATGTTTGAGCAAAATATTATTTAAATTAAGGTGCTTTATTGGCATGACAAATATTTTTACATTCACATTGCCAAAGCATTTGTAGCACTGCTGCATACAGATAAAATAGGGCAAAATAACAATGAAAAACGGTGTGATTTGCAGAGAAATCTAATGGAAAGACAGCAGTAAATGAATGGTGTGTGTGTGTGCAGTGTTCCTGCAGGATCTGGAGGGTGTGTGTGTGGGTTTGTGGTCTGCAGGAGTGTGTGTTGTTGTAGTTTATGTTCTGCTGGCAAACACAGATCTGTTTCTGACCAAACCGGACCGGACGTCTCTGGACAGACTGGCCAGCGCCAAGCTCAGATCCACTGCTGGAGGTCAGAGATCACAACATCTCATTCACATTACAGCCGGCCGTTCACAAATGTTATAGTTTATTTCAGCTACTCACACACATTTTCAAAACTTTGCCTCTTTTTTTCAAAACTTTACACATAAATCCAAGAATTGCACACAAAATGCAAAAAGCCTCACATCTCTTGCAAAACGAAGCACTGCGTTCAAAATATCACAAACACGTCTCAAAAGCAAACATTTGCAAACACCTTTGCCATAATATTAATTCCTGTTAGATTTGTGTGTGTTACATCGAGAACTGTGTGTTGTGTTTTGTAAAAAGTGTTTTATGAAAGTCAAGGCTGAGAATTAGTGTCTGGTTTTGTAGATTTGGTGTGTGCTTCTGCTGTTTGAGTGTCAGCTTTCAGAAACTGTGTGACACGTGAAGATGCAGTGTGTAAGCAGATGAAACAACTGTAATGAATAAGTTCTAATTTTTTTATTTGCATTCGGTGAAATATGATGCAGACATTTCTATGCCAGATTCACCTTGTAAATGTTCTTACACTTCAGTCTTCACAGCTGCTTTACTGTAGTACATGTGGTGAAATTGCATGTTTTTAGTTGTTGATGCATTTGCTGTTTAGAGCAGTTCAACTGAACCTAGACATGAAACGAGGCTAAATTTGACATGTATCAATGCATGTGTGTTGTTTCTCCTCAGATGAGGCGAATGTTAAAGCTGTCTCTTTGTGGGAGCGAACTGGAGCCGTTATTATGGTGGTCAGACGGCCCGGATGATCTCTGTGCAGAGAGGTGTGTGTGATTCTCATGTTATCATGTGTATATAATCACACACACACACAGGTTTGTTTTTGTGAAAAGTGGGGACATCCCAGGAATTTATTTGCTTACAATATTTGGTAATCACTCCTCAAATTGTATTTTGTAAATATATTTTATAAAATATTTATAATATTTATATATAACATAATATTTATGTATTATAATATATTATTATATAAATTCTATAATTTAATTGGCATTTTATGTAATATTTTGTCATTGATTTTATATAATGCTAATGTATTACAAAAGTAAGTAACCTTTTGCATTATTATTTTCTAAATATATACTGTATGTGTGTGCTTTTATATGTACATAATAAATATATATTATGTAAACAAAAACTTTTATTTTGGATGTGATTAATCGCGATTAATCTTTTGACAGCACTAATTTATTTATATTTTTCTCTTCTTATTTTGTCATATTTTAACCTATTTATCACTATGAAAATTACTGTGGCTGCTGACATGATGTTAAATTATTATTTTTTTTTAATGAATGGCTGTATATGGGGTCATGGGTCACCAGTACCATTGTTATGTTATTGTAAAATATCTTTCAAATAAATAAATGAGTAAATAAATGTAACTATTTAATTCTGGTTTAATTTGACTGGTCAAGCAGTGTTTCAAGATGTTATTATATTATTGTAAAGTATAACATAAAATAAATAAATACAGATTTCTTGGCTGTTTCAGATGTGTTTCTATGGTGTGAAGCGGAGGACGATGAGGAGTTTGGGATTCGCTCGCTTTGGGGTTTGGAGGAACCTGCTGCAGGTGTGGAGGAGAGGTTACCATGGCAACAGGAAGGGGGAGGGGTTTGTTTTGGGAGGCCTTTATGTGATTGGACCAGAGAATCAGGTAATGTACAACAAACATCTTCATGGTACATGATTTTAAAATGTCCAAACATATAAAAAATATGGATCTGTAAATACAAAATGTTACATGTCTTTTGGCTTTTATGGCTGATGAGGCTCCTGGCATGTGGTCAGGATGACTGATTCCTGATGATCGAGTGAATGATGTTAGAGCTGTTCTGTGATCTCATGTGTTTGTGTTGTAGGGGATTCTGCTGGAGCACCATGAGAAGGAGTTTGGAAATAAAGCTGCTCTCTCTGCGGTCCGGACGGCTGTCAGCCGGATTCAGAAAACAGAAGAGACACGAGACAATTAGATTCATATCAAAACAAACCACAGCATCTTTGAAAATTAAAAAAACATAACTTGATTTTGCATTGAAATCAAATCAACTGAGTTTCCTGAAAACGTTTGCTAAACTATTCATGGAATGCATTATTGTGTGTGTGTGTGTGTGTGTGTGTGTGTTGTCTCAGAGTGTCTATATGACAGACTGATCCTAAACTCTAATGAGGGGACGGCCTTGATGATTGACACTTTAGATCACCAACACACACACACACGCACGCACGCACGCACGCACGCACACTCTCTCTCTCTCTCTCTCTCTCTCTCTCTCTCACACACACACACACACACACACACACACACAAGATTGAATTTTAATTTTTTTTCTCTACTACACAACTCTGCGTTAATTTAAAATAATCAAATTATTGATGATACAAACATATGTCATGTTTTAAATACTGAAATGTATTTTTATATTCCTCTTATTTTCTTTCATTCTTTGCACTTCAGTGCTTTGTTAAAGTGTAGATTATCATGTGCATGCTATGAAATAAACTGAATAAATCACTGTGGTGTGACAAATAAGCTTACAAATATTAAATTAATTAAATGTATAATTAATATTACATGTATATTAAATATGACATTTTTTAAAAAGGTAAATATTTAATTAAATATTTAAACGTAAAAATAAAAAAACAAATAAACGTATAAATATTTTAAAGTAGTCTCGCAGATGATATGAGCGCTGCTTGACAGACAATTTATAAATACAGGATCCGCCTCGTAGTGAAGATTGACAGGTGTAGCGTCCAATAGGAATCTCGCAAACTTCTCACTGCAGCCAATCAGAGAGCGGGTCACAGCAGAGGACGGTTAACAGCAGCGGGCGTCAGAAATTACGATGCGCACCTCAGCATGGAAACAGCTACAACTTACTCAGGTAAAAGTTTCATCTGTCGGTTAAAGTGTCGATTAGAGAGTTCTATAACGGTATTTATTCACCTGTAGCGTCTCTCAGGTGTGATATTTAGTGACTGAAGCAACACGGAGCGTTTCATATTGACGGACGGACTCCTGTTATTCTGAAATATAACGTAACGTTAACATAAACGGCTCTGCTGCTTATGGCTATGAGTTTGAACATATTACACACTCTTTGTATATCGACAGCTATTTTGAGATGTAAGTTAGTGGTTGTTTGTGATAGTTTGACCGTCTGAGGCGCTAAATGTAACCTGAGGCTCGGGATTATGGCACGCGCTACGTCAACATCACGTCACGAATCAAGCAAAAATTAATCACACAATTAATATTATTTACATCACCACAACATGAGTAATTACACGATTAATAAAAGAGTCTGAAAGTAACAGTGAATTGCTTCGATCATCACAACTACAACAAGTACCGTAAATACTATGGTAATGCTATGTATTCTAATACTATACTGCTGTAATATATTTAATTTAATTTAAAACTGATTTTAGGGTCACATTTTTCTAAGCGTATAAAACAAAGGTCAAATAGTTGAATCAATTAATTGAAACAATTATGACTTTTAATGATATATCACATCCAACACAGTAATAGCTGTAACCACAACAATTGATCATAATAAAAAAATGTGCTAGAATACGTTTGAAATAACTACATCTCTGCTGTTTAACGTTTTAAAAACGATCAATCACTTCATATTAGCTACAAAACAACAAACAGCCAATACAGATATCAGTGGAAACATGGCATAAAAAAAGGTAACTGCAAATTTCCCACAATTCAGTCTCACAATTTTGACTTCTTCTGAGATATAAGCTCTAATTCTGACTTTTCTATCTGTATTTTCCTAATATAGCCCAGTCTAATGAAGGCTTAGTGCTTCTGCAGACATCAGATATCTATAGTAGCTTGTTTCCGCCACAGGATAAAAACAATAAAAAGGTTCTCACGATTCTGAGGGGAAAAAATGTGATTAGTAAACTCAGAATCGCTAGAAAAAAGCCAGAATGGTGAGATAAAAAGTCGCAATTATCTTTTTATTGTTTTTATCCTGTGGCGGAAACAAGCTACTATAGATATCTGATGTCTGCAGAAGCACTAAGCCTTCATTAGACTGGGCTATATTAGGAAAATACAATAATATGAATGATATCAGATGAAAATCACTACAGGCTTGTTTTTTTGTTTTTTTGCAACTACACTTATAATTTCAACTTGCAACTTATGATAATATAATTATTAGGCACGTTGATATTCTGATTCTATATGTTTTCCAAGCACATTTGACCAATTCCAAACCACATCAATCTTAATAACTACTATTAATTTTGTATTTAATCATTTATGAGTGATATATAATTGTCCATGATGGCTGGAAGTGAAAAACTCCTTATATTCAGGTGTGCAGAATTATTAGGCATGTTTTCTTTTACTGATAAACATGAGCCAAAAAAGAGGTTTAACTCAGACTGAGATGTCAAAAAATTATTAAATCCCAATGAGAAATATTCCAAACTAATGCAGTACAGAAAATGCAAAGTTAAGACATGACCAGCAATAGCCAAAAATTATACAAATAGAGTCAAAATTATAGATGTTTCTTTTATGCCAAAAATCATTAGGACATTAAGTAAAGATCATGTTCCATGAAGATATTTTGTAAATTCCGTACCTAAAACTTAATTTTTGATTAGTAATATGCATTGCTAAGAACTTAATTTGAACAACTTTAAAGATGATTTTCTCAATATTTAGATTTTTTTGCATCCTCAGATTCCAGATTTTCAAATAGTTGTATCTCAGCCAAATATTGTCCGATCCTAACAAACCATACATCAATGGAAGCTTATTTATTCAGCTTTCAGATGATGTATAAATCTCAATTTCAAAAAATTGACACTTAAGACTGGTTTTGTGCTCCAGGGTCACGTATCATCAGAATGTCAATGTGCCTAATAATTATGCATGCGATGTATATTTTAAACATCTGGGGCATTTTATTGATTTTTTAGTAATATTTTCATCCTGTACCACCAGTGTTTTTGTGCGGCTCATTAGTGGTGGGCGTTTTGATTGATGGATGTCTGTGTTTGTGTGGCAGTGAGCTTCTAGGATCAGCTCATCGTCTCGGACAGGACAGAGACTCACAGATGGAGGCTGAGACAGGTGAAGCAGGTGGAGTGACTCTGAATGAAGCGCTGAGAGCTGAGCGCTGAGCGTGTGTCTGTCTGCAGGTGAGAGCGTGAGGCTGACGGTCATCAGGGGGGATGATGGTCAGCTGGGCTTCAGTGTGCGAGGAGGATCTGAACACGGACTCGGCGTCTTCATCAGCAGAGTGCAGAAAAACAGCGCCGCAGGTCAGAGTCTTCAGGGAGCTCCCTATGCTCCCTATAATAATATAAATTATATGAATATAAGTATAGACATGCAAATACATGTAAATATTTTCAAAATATATACTGTGTGTGTGTGTATTTATATATACTTAATAAATATACACAGTACACACACATATATTATGCAAACAAAAACGTTTATTTAGGATGTTATTAATCGTGATTTATCGTTTGACAGCACTAGTTTAAACACTATGCACTGGACACACCTGTTGGTGGAATTAATGTAAACGCAATAAAAATTCAAAACAAGCATGCATTAAGACACCTTTTACAAACCAATTGCATGTTTTCTTAAAAGTGTGTAATCTATTAAATGCAATCTACAAATCATCGTAGTCCATGGACTATGGATGAAAAATAGCCTTTGGCTAATTCTGGTACATTTATAGAAATGTTTTATTAATATACAATGTCCCTGTTAACTAAATGAATAAAATAAAATAAATCAAATACCATTAAATATAAAGTGTCAGTGTTTTATTAATATACAATGTCCCTGTTAACTAAACGAATAAAATAAAATAAATCAAATACCATTAAATATAAAGTGTCAGTATATAATATGTTTTTTTAATTAATCTGTAGGGCTTGTTTAATTTGTTCCAGGGTTATTTTAGTAGCATTGATATACTATTTTTATAATTTTTTTTAAATATACTTTCTGTTTTCATTTTAATTTGAGTAATTTTGTTGTATTTTTGTCTTTTTACGTCTGTACATTTTTCATTTTATTTATTTGTTTGTTTTAATTTAGTACATCAGAAACTAAATGAAAATGAGAAATGTTGCCTTGGCAACTAGCTAAAATAATATAATTTTTTTAATATATATTTTATTTTATTTCAGTTAAAGTACAATTTTAGTTAACTATATTAACCCTGGTCTGTTCTATGGAAGGTCTGTATTCAGGCCAATAAGAGACAATTAAGAACTACTACTTCTTATTTTTATTATACAAATGTGCAATTAAAAGTGTCTAGATTATAAAACTGATCTGAGATCAGATTATTACCATATATACACTGGTTCATGGGTTCACAACATTAAGCAACACTGAACTTTATTGATTTTAATAATGACACTGTTGTCTTCTGTTATTTTCCTGTTTATTATCGTGAAGCTGCTTTGAAACATTCTGTATTGTATAAAGCGCTACATGCAGTAAATAAGCGTGGCTTGTTGATATTGTTCTGTGCTAAAGAGGTTGTGTGTGTACACTGGTGTGTGTGTGTGTATGTACACTGATGTGTGTGTGTGTGTGTACACTGATATGTGTGTGTGTGTGTGTGTGTGTGTACGCTGAGGTGTATGTGTGTTCACTTATGTGTGTGTGTGTGTGTGTGTACACTGATATGTGTGTGTGTGTGTGTGTGTGTGTACGCTGAGGTGTATGTGTGTTCACTTATGTGTGTGTGTGTGTGTGTGTACACTGATATGTGTGTGTGTGTGTGTGTGTGTGTACGCTGAGGTGTATGTGTGTTCACTTATGTGTGTGTGTGTGTGTGTGTACACTGATATGTGTGTGTGTGTGTGTGTGTGTGTACGCTGAGGTGTATGTGTGTTCACTTATGTGTGTGTGTGTGTGTGTGTACACTGATATGTGTGTGTGTGTGTGTGTGTGTGTACGCTGAGGTGTATGTG